TCCTCTTCTACCCCTTCCCCATCTTCGGCATCCTCATCATCAAGATCCTGCTGTTGCGCTTCAAGAGCCAGAGCTCCAAAGCCTACAGGAGGTGGCGGGTTGAACACAGTGCTCTGGAGCTGTCCGCAGCCTCTGCAGCGTGGGTTTGATTCCCAGCCAGCCAGGGAGATTCCTGCATGGCAGAGCAGACCTCTCCTGTCTCGCCCACTGCTCCCCTCACCAGTGTTTTCAGTCCATCTGTCTGTTCTCCCCACTCTGCCTCTGGTGAATCCTCTCACCCTTCCGTACCTCTGGCCTGTGCCCCAGCTCTTGTATAAATAAAAATAGATCTTTTTTCAAAAAAGGGAAAGAGCCTGAACTCCGAAGGGAAGATGGGGCGCCCCTGTTTTGGATCAAAGAGCCACACCTCACCTTCTCCCTGACGTGCCTGGAGCCAGCCTCACCCTCCATGGAGATGTTTATGCCCTGGAGTTCCCATGTTTTGTGGCGAAGAGTGCATCTCCCTTCCTCTGTGAACTTGCATCTTGAATCCCGGGAGATGCCAATTTGCAATAAGCCACCAGGAATTCTGGAACTTAATGGATGGAGTGATCGCTATAACATCTTGTTCTGATACTGAACGGACATGAGAGCAGTGGGATTCTGGAGGCCAAGTGGGTGCTGCTGGTCCTTATCGGGCCTTGCAGGTGGCTGGGTGCACAGCAGCTGCTAAGCCCGTTTCTGGCAAGTGGTGTAAACCTGCTTTTCCTCCCAGGTAGCCCAGGGTGCTCTTTGGAGACACCCTGGTCCCACCGCTGCCCCCATTCTCATCCCTATTTATTACGCTGCATCGACACTTCTGAGGTGCAGAATCGACTCAGTGGCGAGGAAGGCAGGCATGCTTCATCCCGTTTGGCGGTGGAAATTGCCTACCCCTAACTTAGAAACTGAGTCAGGGAGGGGCGATGTCTGGCTGTTTTCTGATTGGAAAGATGCAGAGGGCTGCCTGGGATGGGTGTGCAACTAAGATCTGGGTTTGAATGGGTTCACAGCTGTAAAATAGTAGGTTCTGTAAGTAATTCAATATGTGAAGCACATGCAGGAAACTTGAAAGACAAGAAGAAACCGGAGCCAGTATTTTCATATGTTTTTTTCCTCTGTATTTTCTATTGCCCTGGGGGAGACCTTCCAAAGGTGAGCCTCTCCAAGCTTTCCATGAAAATCCCTAGGACCTGTTGCTTTGCCCATGTCTTGGGAACTGGGGTGTCCGAGGACAGGATATGGCGCCCTCCAGTGGCCGCGGGTCCTCACTGCACGTTGCCTGCGGGAGGTTCCGTGGTCTGGACCAAGAGGAAATCTGCAGCCACTCGCTTGACTTGCTGCCCATCTCCAAGGCTGCACTGATGAAAAACCACACTGTGCGAGGCCCGTCCCAGGACTCGGAGAGGACCGCACCCTCTCTCCCCTGGGGGTTTCTGTAGCAGATTTTCATATTTTCAAACAGTGGTTTCTCTGCGTTGATGGTTGAAGGAAAAAAAAGGTGGGGTCAGAAAGCTACCCGTGCATGATGTAGAGAGCTGTTGGTTTGCTTTTGTTTGCTTTTTTTTTTTAAGGAACAGTCTTTGTAAGATGTTGCACTAAAATGTTTTATATACATTTCAGAGACCTGTAGTAAATTATGTTGAAAATATGGCTGTTTGCATTACCTGGCGTCCGCTGTCCTGTTACAGATCAACCCCGATAAAAACAGGTTACGTGACTGTGGGTCCTCACCCGCACGCTTAAATGGACTTACTCATGCTAAACTGCAGACACACGCACATGGTTAATCACAGGTTTATTTACCAGGGAAGGGGAAACGAATAACTCAGGGAGAAAAGGAGGGAGATAAGTTCGTAATTGCATCCTACCCATTCCGCTGACCTGAAATCCCAATGACCCACTGAGCTGGCGAAAAACCACGTGCCATCAGGCCAACAGAGTGACCCCCCAGCTCCCCAGCCCCCCGTCTAGATGGCTGGTTAAATACTCAGAGAACATCGCTGCTTAACTCCACCCTCAGGTCCACGCAGCCCTCCGTTTGGTGATCATGGGATTTGCAGTTCCCAGGGTCTTGATGGCATGGGGGTGGAGTCCACTGCAGCGAGACCACAGCATGCTCTGCTAAGTGGGTGGCCTTGCCCTGGCCCCGAAGGCTCAGCAAGCACTTGCACGATGGAGGAAAGAGCAAGGCCTGGCACCTGTTCTGTGCACAGCCTCCCAGACCCTGGTCCCCACACAGCTCAAATCTGGGGTGTTTTGGAGTTCATCCCATCTGCAAGTTGAGAAGATTGACAATGATTAAAGCACAGCAGTTTTGTGTGATCAGTCTGAGCCCATCTGTAATACTTTGAAATCCACGGGAGAATACACAAGAGGCACTAGACACAGAGTGAGAGGCTCAGGGAGTCATCCTTTTTCTTCTTTTTTTTTTTTTTTTAAGATTTATTTATTTATTTAAACAAGCACTGGGTATAGTCAGAAGCGCGGGAGGGTGAGAGAATTCACCAGAGCCAGAGCTGAGAGCAGAACAGGCAGAGTGACGAAGCACACTGCTGAGGGGAGCAGCGGACAGCAGGAGAGGTCTGTGCGCCATGTGGACCCTCGCCCGACGGCCAGGATCGAACAGGAGCTGCAGAGGCTGTTGGCAGCTTCCCAACCCTGCGCTCAACTGCTGCACCACCGGGGAGGCCCCTTTTTTTTTCTTCTTAAAACCTCAAACTTCCTGAGACTGTAAGATGTGCTGGCCTCTGCCGCCTGCTTATCAACTTCCGGCAGCTGCTGGCCTGGCCAAGAGTTGAGGTCCTTCTGTCTCTCCCTTGGGTCCCCAGCATGGTCTGCGTCAGTTTTATGCATTATTTTTGCTTGTTTTTCCTCAAACGCTCTCTGCCAGGAATCATTTTTAAAAGGGAACTAGGGAACTAGAGTTTGATGAAATCAGCTTGTGCCTCTAGAGCCCCAGGGTAGATCTGCCCAGTGTTTACATGGACACATGAATGTCCCCTCCCACGCTGGGCAAGAGTACAGGCAGTGCCTTGTCCACTACATGCTGGGCCCTGAGTCTTCTGGGCTTTGGCAAGACCCAGAACCAGAGGGATGTGCTAGGAAGAGCAGCAGCCTCGCACCAGAGGAGCAGCTGAAAAGCCGCCTCTCTTATCTAGTGAAATCTGCAAGGACAAGCAGATGAAACCTGGTCTTTCAACACCAGTTGTAGAATGAAAAATACCGTGAGCCCTTTAGGTGGCAGGTGCTCAGAGCATGAACAGTCCAGGCCCTGAGCCACTGTGATGCTTGGAGTCTGCCAGGCCAGGCACATCGGGGCTCTTATAAATGTGTTTCTCTCGCTAAAGGAGCTTGCACTGCTGCTTGGTCAGATGTGCGTCCACCACGGTAGACTAATGAGTCTTTCCTCATCTGATGTGCAGAGACGATGACCTTGGGGGGTACTTCCACCCCAGGAAAGTGGGCATTGCTCCCCTCAGCCCTGCTTTTAGGGGGCTGACCCTTGCTGCTAGTCCCAAATTTGGGTTCCCCCAGATGAAAGATGAGTGTGATGCCTTGAACTTGGCTTGGGTTGGACTCGGCCACTCCCTGTGCGTGTCCTCGAGCAGGCACATGCCCTGAGCCTCAGTTTCCTCCTCTGTAGACACAGGACAGTGGTCACATCAGCTAATCCAGGCCGCGCACTTAACGCAGGGCAGGGAATGGGCTCCAGTTGATGTTCCATCACTTGTCAGACCCCAGCCTCCCTTCTCAGGTTGCCCGAGGTCCTGCCAGCCCCGGGCAGCAGAGGACCCCGATTTCCTCACATCTTGGGGTAAACACTGCACTTGTCATGTGCCCCCAATATCTAGAGATGGTAGGGGGTGTCTTCAAGTCACCTGCTTCCAGGTATAGGACTTTGGCTTCTGAAATTTCGCGCATGAGAGATGCCTTGTAAGATTTTAGGTTCATTGAAGAAATAGTTCATGATTTCTGAAAGTACAGGCCACGTGACTGGGATGCTGGGGCCCAGGGGGGTTGCTGGGGAGGAGACCCACAGTCAATGGATTTCCACCTGCTCCACAGCTGCACCTGGTGGCATGTGGGGGGGGGGCGGGAGTCCTGGTCTGGGCAAGAGTCTCCACCTGCCTCAGCTGGGCTGGGACAGCTCTGGGCTTCTCTGAAGGAAAAGGGCCTCTTCCTGGGGTGGAGTCCTTTGCTCTGGGCCCCCTGGGGCTGCAGGGGGAAATGTGGGGGGAAGCCAGTGGGGAACACTCACCAATAAGAGGGGCATTCCAGGGGCCAGTGGCTGCTCTGCAGAGAGAAATTCGGGGAGGCCACTGAGGGGGTGAACTCCTCAGCCTGAGGGAAAAGCCACAGTGGAAACCGAAGAGGAGCCAGAGAGAGTGAGGAGGAGACACCGCGGCTGGAATCCAGTTCTGGGCACGAGGGGCGGCTGGGATCTGGATTAAGGAAAAGCGGGTGGGGTGCAACAGGCACCCCCACACCCCAGGGGTGTCTGAACAGTCCGGGTTCCCCTTGTTCTGACAGGGGAGGAGAGAGCCTGGGCGGGTCTGGCTGCTACAAGGCACAGATGAAAGCGCGGGGCCTCCCATCCTGGAGCCAGGGCCCTGTGCTCTGGGGGTTTTCAGTCACTGCAGCTGCCAGGGGAGCAGGGCGTAGCTTTTGGGGACTGACACCCCCCCCACCCCCCCACCCCTGACCCGACCCCCGCTCCCGCCTCTGCAGCTCTGACCCCAGCATAATCCAATCACTGAGGAAACCTGCCCGGGGGGGGGGGGGGGGGGGGGGGGGGGTGGAACAGCCCCGGGCGGGCGGGGGATACGGTGCGCACCCCCAGAGCCTCCCGGGAGCAGCGGGGGCGGGGCGCCGCGGGAGGGAGGTGCGCAAGCGGCGGGTGGGGGGGGGCAGCGAATGGAGACTGGGTTTCGCTTTGTGGGCGGGTTGAAAGTGCTCCCCATTGGTTCAAGGCGTTAGTGCGCAGCGCGGTGGAGGTGGCCCTGTCGCCATCAGGTGAGCTCAATCCCTTGCAAGGGGCTACCCACGTGGGCAAAGACCTCGTCTGACTCGCCCACTGCCCTGGCCGGAGTAGGTTTTTTAAAAAACCGCCCAGAATCGCGCCAGATCCGCGCCGCGCGGCCATTAAGGCTGGAGGGGCACCCACAGGCGCACCCCAGCCTGGGCCCGTCGTGGCCGGCCTCGGGGCGCGGGGGGGCTGCGGCTTGTTCCTCCTGCTCGGTGAGTGACCCCTCGGGCAGAGGCCGCTGTGAGGTCGGTGCTGAGAGGGTGGGGGGAGGACTCCCCGAGCCGCTGTCCCTGAGAAAGGGGTCACCTTGCCCCTTCCTTGGGGCGCGGGAGGGAACTTCGCCCTTGGGCGTCTGCATCTGGCTGCGGAAGAAGTGGGGGCTCCAGAGCTCTCCGCGGGGCTCATCTCTCTCTCGGGGCCTCTGAGCCCCACGGGCAGATCCAGGCTCCCGCCCCGCGCAGCCTGCCCGGGAAGGTTGTGGCTTTTCTCTGAAATTCAGTTACTTCTCGGCCTTCAGAGCTGCCCTGGCCTTAGACTTGGGCGCACAGAACCGTGCTGGGTCTTCCCTGGGCTCCTCCACCCGCGCCTTGGGTGTGGATCCCTGCTGGGGTAACGCCCTGCCTGCCCCAGGTCCCCCTATCTGGCAGTGCTAGCCTTGCTTGCAAGTGGGGGTGGCCTCTGCGCCCCAGCCCCAACGGGCCAGCATGGGGTGGGAAGCCAACCCTTGCAGGGGGAGGGCAGAGAGAAGGGTTTGAGCAGGGGACCTAGTCAGTGCTTGGGGTTCCTAAGCAGGCAGTGATGGCGCCTTCCCCTCCCTTTGATCTTAAAGGAAGGAAACAGTGAGTGTCTAGAACCGCCTGGTTCCCTTTCTAGCTTCAGGAAATCAGCAGGACAGACCCAGGATATGGGTATCTTTGCCTTGGTTTGGACCTCCTCACCCTCCCCAACACCTCCAGTCTGGGGGCAAGTCACTGTCAACCCCCTGGAGGGTAGTGCTGGCCCCTAACTCATTCTTCCTTGCCTGGGGGTTGGGGGGGGGGTGCCTGTTCCTCTGGGAACCCTTTGTGAAAACTGTCAGATCCATATTCCACTCCAGTCTTCAGCCTTTCCTGAGTGACTCCTCTGTACATTCTCCCAGGTGCACGACCTGGGGAGAGTTGGAGGAAGACTCAAAGGTACTGCAGTGTCAGGTAGAGAAGTACAGGAAGAGGGATTCAAAGAAGCACCAGGGCCTCCCTGGTGGCTCAAGGGTTATGAAGCTCACCAGCCACTGCAGCACAAGTGTGATCCCTGGCCAGGGCGCTGACCCACAGGACACAGCAGACCTCTCCTGCCCAGCCTGCTGCTCCCCTCAGCAGTGTGTTTCAGGACATCTGCCTGTTCTGCTCCCCACTGTCTCTGGTGAATCCTCTCACCCACCTTATCTCTGGCCTGCACTCCAGCTCTTGTATGCATAAATAAATAAATCTTAAAAAAAAAAAAAAGAAGAAGCTCCAAAGCCTCCTGGGCCAGTCTTTTATGAAAATAGGTTTCCTCTGTGAAGCAAAGCCTTCCGGAGAGAGAGGGTGGTGGAACCTGGCTTCCTAGGAGGGAGGTGCTGGAGCTGCAGTCATGTGGGAAGAGATCCCAGGAGGAGGAAGCCAGGCAAGGAAGCCAGGGAGCAAGAGTTTACAGGTGAACTTGGGCAATAAATGGTCCCTCCTCCGTGTCCCCCAGGGACACTGGACACACACTCCAGGTGTGCCGAGGGCAGTTTCTGAGGGCGCCCTTTCTGGGAGAGAAAGGATAATAGAGTCCGTAAGAATTCATACAATTACTGTGAACATCAGTTGCTCAACAAATACTGAGCATCAGCTGTGTGGGGGGCACTGTACAAGGCCCTGAGCACACAGCAGGCGACAACACTCCCTGCTCAGGTGCTGGGGGAGGGGGAGACAGTGAAAAAGAGCAAATAGAGAAATGTGGGGTGATGGCACAGCACACAGTTACTAATACAGAGATTAGGAAAGCAGAGAGGAGGGGGAGCCGTTCATATTTCTTTTTAAAATTTCACAACTTTGGAACACGCAAAAGCTTTAGAACAGTAAAAATAGTACAATGGACACGACACACCTTTCTCCTCAATTTCACCACATTTGGTAGACTTCTCCCTTTATAGATACGAGTAGCCACACACACACACACATGCACTTAAATGGATTATTTTTTTTTAAGATTTAATTATTTTATACAAGAACTGGAGTACAGGTCAGTAACGGGGGAGGGTGAGAGAATTCACCAGAGCCAGAGCGGGGTGGAGAACAGGCAGACGGACCTAAGACACTGCTGAGGGGAGCAGCAGGCAAGGCAGGAGAGGTCTGCTGCGCCATTCTCCCTGACCAGCGGGGAATCGAACTGGCGCTGCAGAGGCTGTGGACAGCTTCACAGCGTGGCACTCAACCCCTGCGCCACCAGGGAGCCCCTAAATGGGTTATTTCTGCAAAACCTTTTGAGAGATGCAAACCTCAGGACGACCTGCCCCTGATTGAGTCGGCTTGTCTTCTAAGACACTGCATCTCAGTGAGCCCCAGAGCCTGCTCAGCAAACACAGCCTTGTCCTGGACTGCTTTTTGGCAGAGTCAGATCTGGGTGAGCACTTCATCTGGTGGTGGAACCTCTTTCGGCCCCTTGCGTCTACGAAGTTGCTTTTTACTGTATGGCTGCTGGCCTCGAGGGTTCCTACCAGTTGTTTTATAGAAAATGCCTTGATTTGGACTGTCTACCTTTTGGTGGTGATTGGGTTCTGGTGAAAACGTGGTTGTCGGGCAGGATTCTCCTTGTAGGTGTGTCCTGGTCTGCTCCCCGCAGCTCATCAGGAAGCAAACTCAGTCCATTGGTCCCACTGTGGAGGTGTGAGCTTCTATGACTTGGTGAACGTGAGGGCCCACAGACTTCTCACTTTAGAGGCACCTTTTTTCTTTGCAAACCAGTAATTGCCTAAGTGACACTTTGAGATTGTGTGGATATCTTGTTCCCCGACTATCTTTCCTCTAATCTTTTAGCATCCAGTGATTTCACATCCAAGTCTGTTATCACTAAAACATTGTAGATGGTAACTATTTTCTAGCCCCATTTTTTATTGTTTTTTTTTTAAAGATTTATTTATTTATGCATGTAAGAACTGGGATACAGGCCAGAGTTATAGGAGGTGAGAGGATTCACCAGACACAGAGCAGGGAACAGAACAGCCAGACTGACTGAAATACACTGCTGAGGGGAGCAGTGGGAGAGTCAGGAGAGGTCTGCTGCGCCATGTGGGTAGCTCCCTGGCTGGGGATCGAACTCATGCTGCAGTGGCTGTGGATCACTTCATAGGTTGCGTCCCAACCCCTTTCACCACCAGGGAGTCCCTAGAACTGCTTTAAAAAAAAAAAAGTATTGATATTCTTTAGCAATGAAAAGATTTTTTTTTTAAGATTTATTTTATTTATATATGCATACAAGAGCTGGGGCATAGGTTAGAGGTGTGGGGGGTGAGAGGATTCATCAGAGACAGAGCGAGGAGCAGAACAGGCAGATCCCCTGAAATACACAGCTGAGGGGAGCAGCGGGTAAGACAGAAGAGGTCTGCTGCGCCGTGTGGGTCAGCTCCTCAAACTCCTGCTGCAGTGGCTGCGGATTGCTTCATAGTGCTGAGACTTAATCCCTTGCGCCACCAGGGAGACCCACTTTTTGTGATTTTTAGTAAGAGTGGACTCATGGGTGTTTGAAGATGGCGCTCTTGTCATTCTCTGTTCTGATGCGCAGTGATAACAGATTTGGGATCCTCTTCAGACTCCAGTGAGTGTCCGCTTGCCCTGTTTCCATCAGATCCCGAGCACTTCTTACGAACAATGCTTCACACCCATTTTGTCCCCTTCCTGCTTCTTGGAACCATTAGACGTCTGTCTCCTGTGGCTGTTAGCGGGGGTGTAGAATCAAGGCTACCATTTTCAGAACTAGGAAACAGAGCATTCACGGAGGAAAGAAAGCATTCTCAGAGCTCGCTCTGAGATGGCTGGGCCTCAACCATTTGGTTCTTCTTCCTCTTCCTCCATTTGATATTTGGGTCTCCGTTGGCCCCATTCTCAGTAGCGTCACCACAATTTCCTACTCTACATTAGCACGAGATGGTTTCACAACTGTCACACTCGTACCGCTGCCCCACACAGGCTTACTCAACACAGTTCAAGGTTTCTTTGGACTCTTTATTTTTCCTCATTTGCCAGTGAATGAAGATTTACAGTACCTTAAAATTTTAAAGTGACTTGAATTCCCTTTTTCCCTATTTGTGTGGTTATGGTGTGATTTGATAGAGAATTACATCACTTTGTTTCTGTTTCTATTCAGTTGACCTCGCCTCCTCAGCCTTACGGTGCCATGTGCTCCTCGCCCACTGACAAGGAACCCAGTGAGTGAGGGGCCTCTTGTCTGGGTCATAGAAATCCGTTCCTGCACCCCCACAGAAACCCTTAGTTCTCCTTTGTGACCTTGATCTGTTGTCCCCACCAAATATCCATCTGAGGGGACCAAATTATTTGATAGGCTTGTTCTCAGGAAATGAACCCTTGTTGGGTCCTGTCGACCTTTGCTTCCTTTTCATAATGTTCCCCAAAATGTCTGTGAAGATCAGTGTCTGAATTTCCATCAGACTGGTGTGTCGTTTTCTTGCATGTTGTCTGGTTTATCAGTTAAATACTATGGGAAAAATGAAGTTTAACATGCACATTCAGAAAATAATAAATCAGATTAATGAATAATGAGATTATGCCATAAATTCGTTACAGTAGAGTTTCTCAATTATGAACTGGAAAACAAGAGGGATTGTAAAGAAATTTAATTTTTTCGAAAGACTGATTTATGCACAGAAGAACTGGAGTACAGGCCAAAGGTGGGGGGAGGGGTGGTTTGAGAGGATCCACCAGAGACAGAGTGGGGAACAGAACAGGCAGATTGACTGAAATTCACTGCTGAGGGGAGCAGCGGGCGAGACAGGGGAGGTCTGCTGCACCATGTGGCTCAGCTCCCTGATCGAACTCAGGCCATAGTGGTGACAGCGAACTCAGGCTATAGTGGCAACAGCCCTGATACTAACCCCTTGGCCACCAGGGAGGCCCTGTAAAGAAATTTTAAATGAAATGGTCCATAGTGAATTGAAATACCTTGAACCAGACTTTGGAGAATAGATTTTAAGAGACCCACAGAATCCTAAATATTGTAGCAAAACTGGCTCCAAAGCATCCCGTGGGTCTCAGGTATATGCTGTCAAGACAAGACCAGCCTGAGGCAAATGTAGTTCTGAGCATGAAGGGATGTGGGAATCTTGGAAGCACAATCTAGAACATAATATGAAAGAGGAGAATTCATTTTAATATCTTATTTTATTTAATCGTTTCCTTTGACGTGTGGTCGATATAAAAATACTGTGGGATTTTCGATTCCCTTTTTCATACGAAAGTTTCAGAGTCTGGTGTGTGATCTGCTCTCCCCACACATCTCGGTCGGGACTACCCTCCCTGGGCACTCATGGGTGTGGTTGGCTGGTGGCTACTGAATGGGGCTGTACAGACAGAGGGAGACACTTGGAAAGGAGAAGGACATTAAACACGGGAACAAGGGGTGAGAAGGTGGCCTTTTCAGCATCACGGGAGACAGGAAACCTCTAAAGGAGCTTGATTTAGAGACTCAACACCTTAATTCTGGATAAGCTCCAGCTGGAGTCTAGGAGCATCTTGACAATGGAAAGCTTCTGGGGGGTTCTGACTCCAGCTGGGAGTCAGGTGGCTGCAGCTTCAGTTTGAAATAGAAGGAGACAGGGAGGTGGCGATGGTGTAGCCCCAGTAAGTTTCTGTCTTGAGCAACTGTAGAAATGGACATCGCTGGCTGGGACGGGGGAATGATGGAGCCACCAGGGAAGTCGGCGGAGACATCTTACCCCCTGGTGGTGTAGACTCTGGGGCCGGCTGCCCGTGTCGGACACCAGCTCTGTCCCCAACCAGCAGTGACCCCGGTGGGCCTCAGAACCCGCTGAGCCCCAGTCTCCTCATCTGTAACCTGTGATCTTACTCTTTGGGATGCTCTTCCTCTTATTTTCAAGCCCAACTTTCTTTCTTTCCAGGACCCGCTCACATGAGCACCCCTCCTTGAGTACTCACCCCCCATATTCTGCTTCATTTTTCTCACCAACAGTTAACCGCTGTTCCTCCCTTCACTGTAACACAAACTCCCAAGAGGAGCCAGATTTGTCTGTTCTGTCCATCGCTCAGTCCCTACTGCTTGTTACAGTGCCTGAGCCATAGGACAGACTCAATAAATATTTGTGACAATAAGTGAATAGTAGAATCAACCTCACCGAGTTGAGGATTAAATGAGGCTGTCTCTCTACTCATCTGTCTGTCATTTCATTTCTGTCATTTTATTTCTATCTGTCATTTTATTTATCCACCTCTGGAAGTCCTCTTGGGGCTTGGGACAAGTCCCTGGCGTGTAGTAAGTGCTCAGCCACGTCTGTGCTCCTGCCACTGTTGTTAGACACTGTTGGGGTTCAGCAGGCCCAGGCTCATATGGGTGGGATTTATTAAGAGCTGGGTTCCGGAAATAAACTGCCCTGAACTTCCTGGCATAGAAGACTATGTTTTGTTCTTTACTATCTGCAAACCCAGTGAGCATATTTCTTACCCGTAAACCTGGGTTATGGGGTCTGAATAATTACATATCAAATAGGACAGAATTTGTGCTCTCAGCATGGCCTAGACATTTTAAGAGAGCACTGCCGGCTCCTCTGTAAAAATGCACTTAGTTGAAACTCTCTTCCCCAGATGCCAGCACCCCTGGGAGCATCATTGAAAGAACTGAGATGCAGGGAGCGGCAAAGGTTGTGGTCTCAAGTGCACTGCCAGGGGAGAAGCCCACCTGCTCATGGGTTTTGGGTACAAAAATGCCACAGGGCCTGGCTGTGTCCAGGCTTCAAGTGAATCACCATTAGGGTTCAGTTGTACGGGGAAGTCCCAAGAACTATGTCAGTTATGAACTGAAACTTTTAGGGGATTTTTTTCCTTTATTCATCTCTTGAATTTTTACTTCAGCTGCTAACTCTGCCGGCCATGTGCCATTTTAATACTCTTAAGAGAGAGAAAGAAAGAAGTATTGCTGGAGACCCGCTCCAGCAGAATGTCGTGTCAGGAGTCCCCGAAAGGAGAGGATGGCGTCGGCGAAAACTTGGGAGGCTGAGGGGAAGTGGGGTGAGGCAGACACAGACACTCTGTCTGGTGCAAGTATCTCCTACTGAGGGTCTCAGCGGGTCTTTATACCTTAAGGCGAGCGGTGAGATGGCACCAGCATAAGCATCAAAGCAGAACAGAGACAATCATTACATATTTTCTCATGAACATGCAGAGACCCTCTTGGTCTCACACTACAAATGGCACTTCTTTAATCTGATTAAGAAAAACAACAGGGACAATTATTCTCCTTGGTACAACTCATTTTCTAGCATGATCAATTGTCTAAGACAGTACAATGTTCAGTAGGGGAAGCAGGGGCCATTGCAAAAGGCATGGGGGTCCTGGACGGCCAGCAGACCCTCCTCGGGGGCAGGCCGCAGTGGGTGGGGAGGGTAGGGCTGTGTTTTGACTTCATCTTAGGGGTTCCAGGCCGATGCACTCTGCTACAGCTGAACTCTGCCACCTTTCCTTGCTGAGTCAGGGGCTTTCCATCAGCTTCAAGAGCAGTTAGAGGTCTCGCAGGAGCAGCTAGCAAGGGTCAGGAAGCCCTGGCTTTTTTACACTGTCCTTAATTGTATGTAAATCCACTAAATTAATTCACTTCACAAATTGCTTGCTGAGTGGCCTTCATGTGCTGGAATGTGGGGTACAGTGCAGAACCAGAAGGGACTGGTGTTTGTCTGGAGGGATAGCTGTGCCAGGGACGTGACAGGGGTCAGTCTGTCCAGTTCTCCTTCTGATTTCCCCGTGAGCAGGGCTCTGTCCCCCAGAATCCAAGCGGGGGTGGGGGGGTCGAGGGCCTCTCATGGCCCCCCTTCGTCAGCTACCCTCTGCTTTTAGTATTAGTGCCCAGAGCATCCTCCTGACGCGTCTGCTCTGGTCCTTGAGCTCCTTCTCTCCCCTGGACTATTACCCCCTCCACACGGGCATGCCCCAGCTGCGGTGCCAGTTCCCTGGGTGCTCCTGTCATGTCTTCAGTGATGGGCACTTGAGTTGCTCTGAGCACAGAAATGAAAACAGTGTCTCCTCCTGTCTCTGTCCTCTGTCCCAGGTGCGGCCCTGCAGGTGGACATGGTGGTCCCAAAGCCATGGTGTCCGAGAAGGCCGCCTTCCAGCTGGACTGCAGCATCGTGTCTCACTCGAGCCAGGACTCCTGCTTCGCTGTGGCCTGGTTTTGCCTGAGGATGAAAGTTGTTGGGGACAAGGGCAGCCCTGGCAGAACAGGAGGAGCAGGACTCCACCAAGTGGAGGGCATTGCTGAGCATGGGGCCTGACGGGGTCTTCGGCCCAGAGGGAGGCCCCTGGGAGGGCAGACTCCGCTTCCAGAGGCCCTCGCCACTGCTCTTCCGGCTCACGGTGCTGCAGGCCAGCCCGCAGGACACGGGCCACTACTCCTGCCGCGTGGAGGAGTGGCTGCCCAGCCCTCAGGGAGATTGGTACCTGCTGGCAGAGGAGGAGTCGGCCCCCATGGGCATCCGCGTCCTGGACACTGGTGAGTTTCCCCAGTTGGCAGGGGAGGGTTGCGCTTGGTGACAGCTGTGTCTCAGGGACAGGTCAGGGCGCGTTTGCAGGTTAATAAGCACTTTCCTCGCCTGTCACGGGCACTGAGGACTTGACACAGGGTCAAGTGACATGAACTTTGACACTGAGTTTCATGTCACTGACCCTGATGGCCCAGGCCAACTCAGGAGTGTGAACGGCAGTGATAACACAGTCATCGTCAATCTGTGCAATAATCCTGATGCCACACCGAGTCTGTTGTAGTGTTTCCTCTGTTGTTCACCAGCCTATGGTAGAGGTCATCACACAAATACCTGGGCAGGGGTTACTGTGTTACACTTTAGAATATTCACTCTGATCTCCTTTAGCCAATTAACAAGTGCTTCAGACTCGTAAGGAGAGATAATGAAGCCCGAACTGTTCACTATCCCTCTCTGTTTTCCCTGGGTCATATTTATTTTGGGGGTGGCTTGGAGGTCTGGTGGATTTTCATGGTCACCTGGGAGGACCAACCTAGAAGGTCAGTAATGTCACAGGGTGTCTGGGAACAGGTGAACTTGCCATCAGTTTTGCTACAGAATATTCCAGAACTCTGATTTTCGAGAGCACTGAAGGACTCAATAAACAAAGCGGAGCAAAGACTGCTGACCCTGAATCATCTGTTCTAACGAGGCACTCTTATGGTTGTCCTCTCTCAATATGTGGACTCTCTGAGACTGAAAATGGTGTCAGTTACTAGCACAATTGGCCTATAATGCAGAAGTAAAATGTACTAGAAATTTCAACTTGTTTTCCGTCAAAATATTTGAAATTTTGAGTTCACTTGCTATTTCTTTTCTTTGATCACCTCGTTTACACGCTTCAGATTGACGCCTATGACGCTGAGATTTTACAGGTCAAAGTAGTTGACTCTCAACAATTTCACATGCTTTAGGGATCTAATAGGTGTAAGTGTGTGTTGAATGTTCTTGATCACGCTGAGCCACAGGAAATGGATTTCCACCTGCTTCCCAGCTGCACCTGGTGGCACGTGGAGGGGCGGGGAGTCCTGGTCTGGGCAAGAGTCTCCACCTGCCTCAGCTGGGCTGGGACAGCTCTGGGCTTCTCTGAAGGAAAAGGGCCCCTTCCTGGGGTGGAGTCCTTGGGTCTGGGCCCCCTGGGGCTGCGGGGGGGGGGGCAAGCCAGTGGGGAACACTGACCAATAAGATGTCTGTCCCCCCACTCCCGCAGCTCCAGACCCCCAGCGCATCCCAGGTAGTGAGGAAACATGCTGGGGCAGGAGCTGGACAGCCCTAGAGAGGGGCAGGAATCAGGAATGCTGACAGGGATGAGCCACGTGGGGGCGGGCTGAGCCCGCGGAGAGGACGTGCCAGGCAGTAAGAGGCTGTGCAGGCAGGTCCCCCCCAACCCCCGCAGTGTGCATGGAGCTTTAATTATTTAAGATTTATTTATTTATTTATTTATTTATACAAGCACTGGGTACAGTCAGAAGCGCGGGAGGGTGAGAGAATTCACCAGCGCCAGAGCGGGGAGCAGAGCAGGCAGAAGGACCGAAGTACACTGCTGAGGGGAGCAGCGGGCTGCAGGAGAGGTCTGCGCGCCATGTGGGACCCTCACCCTGGGGCCGAAGATCCCACCAGACGTGCAGCTTCCAGCCCAGCGCTCCACCGCTGCGCCACTGGGGGCGCCTGTGCCCGCAGCTTTAAAGGACTGAGCCGGAAGCGCGGGCGGGCGGGCCACGTGGAGGGGGGGCGGGCCACGTGGAGGGGAGCGGGCGGGGCTTCTGTGCACGCTGCGGAGCTCCAGGGGGATCCTGGCCGCCCGCGTGATGACCCCCCCTGAGCCCCGCGGGGGTCCTCTGCCTGCTGCCCCTGCTCGGTGAGTGCCCCCCCCCCGCCGCCCGCCGCGGGTCTGGGGTGCCGCGCCCGGGGCGAAGGTCGGGTGGGCGGCGGGGCCCGAGGGGCGGCGGGGTCGGCGCTGAGGAGGGGCGCGGGGTGGGGGGACTCGCGCGGGCCAGCTGTCCCGAGAAAGGTGTCACCGCAACCCTCCCTTGGGGCGCGGGGGGCGGGGAATTTCGCCGCGGGGCGTCTCGATCTGGCTGGGAAGAAGTGGGGGGCTCAGCGCTCTCCTCCGCGGGGCTCATCTGTCTCTGGGAGTCTCCGAAGCCCCAGGGCGGGATCCAGGCCCCCGCCCCGCGCAGCGATCCCGGGAAGGTTGTGGCTTTTCTCTGAGATTCCCTTACTTCTCGGCCTCCGAGCCGCCCTGGCCCTACACATGGGCGCACAGGACCGCGCTGGGCCTCCCTCGGGATCCCCCACCGGTGCCTTGGGTGTGGATCCCACCCTGGGCCAAGGCAGAGGCAGGTCTGGGCAGAGGGACTGAAGTGAGGCAGAGGCTGGGGTGTCTATACTCAGGTGAGGGGTGCAGGGTTTCACCAATGGGAGGGGGAGTGGTCCACAGGGAGACAAGTTGGCAGCAGCTCAGCTTGGAGTTGGATGGCACCAGCTGGTTTTATCAAGGGGAGGGGAAAGTGTTAGCACAGAGATGGGGCAGGAGTCTTCAGATTCACTTAAATAGGTTATTTATTTTTTTAATTTTATTTTTATATTCCACATACAATTGCAACCCCCTTATATTGACCCCATCCCTCCTTTCCCCACCCCCCACCCCTCCATAGAGTCTCTGGTTCATAGTTATTTGTTGTTTGCTGCCTGGGTGGGGCTAAAGACTGCCCTGAGGGGAGCCCTGCACTGCCCTCCCTGCCTGCAGCAAGCCTGGGGAACAGTTTTTGCCCCTTCTTCTCTGGCGCCCCCCTTCTGACCTGCTCACTCCTCCCCTGGGCCCAACCCTCCCCGCCCCTGTCCTCGCCTCTGCTGTGCCTGGGACATGACGCGGGTCAGTCTGTCCAGCTCTGCTTGTGATTCCCCAGGAGCAGGACTCCTCCCCCAGAACACAAGCAGGGGGGACTGAGGGCCTCTCACTGCCCCCCTTCCTCAGCTACCCCCCGCTTTCAGTCTTCATGCATAGAGCATCTTTGTGACGTGTCTGCTCTGCTCCTTGAGCTCCTGCTCTCCCGTGGGCTGTTACCCCTCCACACGGGCACCCCCCCCACCGCTACGGCGCCAGTTCCCTGGGTGCTCCTGTCATGTCTTCAGTGACGGACACTCCTCCTGTCTCTGTCCCTGGTCCAAGGTGTGGCCCTGCAAGTGATCCTGGTGGTCCCCAACGCCACGGTGTCCCAAAAGGCCGCCTTCCAGCTGGGCTGCAGCATCGCGTCTTGCTCGAGCCAGGACTCCCTCTTCTCTGTTGCCTGGTATTCCCTGAAGAGGAAAGTCGGCGGAGAAAATGGCAGCCCTGGCCTGGCAGGACAGGAGGAACAGCAGGAGGAGCAGGAGGAGGAACAGGGGGAGGACCCCACGGAGCGGACTACTCTGCTGCGCGTGGGCCCTGACGGGGTCTTCGGCCCAGAGGGAGGCCCCTGGGTGGGCAGACTCCGCTTCCAGAGGCCCTCGCTGCTGCTCTTCCAGCTCACGGTGCTGCAGGCCAGCCCGCAGGACACGGGCCACTACTCCTGCCGCGTGGAGGAGCGGCTGCCCAGCCCTCAGGGAGGTTGGTACCTGCTGGCCAAGGAGGAGTCGGCCCCCATCAGCATCCGCGTCCTGGACACCAGTGAGTTTCCCCAGCTGGCAGGGGAGGGTCGCGCCTGGTGACAGCTGTGTCTCAGGGACAGGTCAGGGCGCGTTTGCAGGTTAATAAGCACTTTCCTCGCCTGTCCCGGGCACTGAGGACTTGACACACCGTTCATGTCACTGACCCTGATGGCCCAGGCCAACTCAGGAGTGTGAGCGGCAGTGATAACACAGTCATCGTCCATCTGTGCAATAATCCTGATGCCACACCGAGTCTGTTGTAGTGTTTCCTCTGTTGTTCACCAGCCTGTGGTAGAGTTCATCACACAAACACATGGTCAGGGGTTACTGTGTTACACTTTGGAATATTCAGTCTAATCTCTCTTTAGCCAATTAGCAAGTGCTTCAGACTCATAAGGAGAGAAAATGAAGCCCCACTGTCACTCATTCTGTTTTCCTGGGTCACTTGTATTTTGGAGGGTGACATGGATGTAGGTGGGTTTTCATGGTCACCTGGGAGGACCAGCCTAGTAGAGCAGTGATGTCATGGGTCTGGGAACAGTTGAGCTTGTCATCGGTGTTGCTACAGAATGTTCCAGAACTCTAAGTTTAGATTCTATAAACAACAAGGAGGAAATTCTTGCTAACCTTGAATTTTCTGTTCTAACAAGGCACTCTTGGTTGGCTTCTCTCAAAATGTGGACTCTCTCAGACTGAAAATGGTGTCAGTTATTAACACAATTAGCGTATAATGTAGAAGTAAAAATGTCACAGAAATTTCTACTTGTTTTCAGTCAAAATATTTTACCAGATAATTTTGATTTGAAAATTTGCGTTTCATTTGCTTTTTCTTTTCTTTGATCACCTCGTTTACATTGCTTCAGATTGATGCCTACGACACTGAGATTTTACAGGTCAAAGTAGTTGACTGTCAACAATTTCACATGCTTTCGAGATCTAATAGGTGTAAGTGTGTGTTGAATGTTCTTGAGCATACTGATAAGCAGCAGCTGTGCACTCGAAAGGAAGGCAGGAAAAGACCTGTATTGTGCTGAGTCCTCCCAACACACTCCCAAATAAGCTCCAGTCCAAAAGCACAGGGAGCGTGTGGAGGCCACCTATTATTTCTCACTGTGGCAACCCCTGTGTATGGCGTTTCAAGGAACAGAGACTATCTAGCAGCCTCCAGAGACCAGGCTCCTGCTGAGTTCTTCCAAGTGCAAGGGTGGACCTGGATGAGGTGGGGGGGCCTGGCTTCATTGTCCTCCACATCCAGGGCGAACAGGCTGTGTCCTCTGCAGCCACAGGCACACCGTGGGCAATTGTGGGCCCACAGTGATATTTTAGTTGATCGTGTTAATTA